CTGTTTAACAGTGCATAGTTGTTCTTTGAAATATTTGTAATATTTGTATTTGTTTGAGGTTCTTTTTGCCTGAGTATTATTTAAATTCTAAACACCACTAACTTATATTGGTTTTATTGGATAATTGCCATGTGTTTTGATGTGAGCGTTCTCTACTGTTGCAACAGAAATGTTTTCCTTCTCAACACAAGTCCCAGACAAATTCTGTGAGAAGCAAACAGGTGGCACTGGCTTGATTTCATAAGGTGTTTGTTGAGCACTTGATTTCAATGAGAACTGCAAGCTGTTACCTCTCTGGAAGCATGGAAAAAAGCAGATTCCATAGGGCAGACTTTGGCCTGTCTAGGAGACTGGTTGACAGAGTCTCTAGGGAGGCTGTCCTGAGGGCAAAGGACTCCAGGAAGGCTGGACATTCTCCAAGAAGGAAATCTTAAAGGCACAGGAGTAGGCTGTCCCCATGTTCCCAATGAGGCAAACTGAATGAGGTTTAACAAGACTAAACATCTAGTCTTGCACTTGGGCCACAATAACCCCATGCAACACTACAGGCTTAGGGAAGAGTGGCTGGAAAGCACATCCTGGCTCAGTGGAAAAGGACCTGGGGTGCTGACTGATGGCTGCTGAGCATGAGCAGCTTGTGCCCAGGCAGCCAAGAAGGCCAACAGCATCCTGTCCTGTATCAGCAATAGTGTGGCCAAGCAGGGCCAAGGCAGTGATTATCCCCCTGTATTTGGCACTGATGAGGCTGCACCTCAAATGCTGTGTTCAGTTCTGAGCCCCTCACTACAAGAGAGACACAGAGGTGCTGGAGCAGGTCCTGAGAAGGGCAACAAAGCCAGTGAAGGGTCTGGAACACAAGTGTGTTGAGGAGTGACTGAGGGAACTGGGGATGTTTAGCCTGGACAAAAGGAGGCTGAGGGGAAGATGTTATTGCTCTCTACCTGAAAGGAGGTTGTAGTGAGGTGGGGGTTGGTCTTTCTTCCAGATAACAAGCAGTAGGGCAAGAGGACATGGCATCCAGTTGTGCTAGGGGAGGTTTAGATTGGGTATTATGAAAAATTTCTTCACTGAAAGGCCCATCAAGTATTGGAACAGGCTGCCTGGAGATATGGTCGAGTCACCATTGCAGGAGGTGTGGTGCTTAAGGACATGGTTTAATGGTGGACTTTGCAGTGAAAGGTTAACAGTTGGATTTGATGATCTTAAAGGTCTTTTCCAACCTAAATGATTCTGTAATTCTATGATTATACTTTGATCTGCCACTAGCTGAAATGCATAAGGCATTTTAATATGAAAGAAACAAATTATGCAGGTTGAGAGACGCTAGACAAGTTAATTGCATCCTTCAGCTTGTAAAATCCATGTAGGTCCTAATTAAGCAAACAACCTTCTTTTTGGAGGTTATGTTGTGAGGGCTGCTCTCACGTGATGTTTTCAGTTGACTGCTAAAATGATTTGAAATCTTTCATATGAGTGGTTGAAGCTCACCCCATTTTCATGTGCAGATCTCACCACTAAATATAAGGGCAACTGAAGTATCTGAGGTGACAACAGTTTTCACAATGATATTCAAATATGGATATTTAATAAGGCCTCAGGAATACTTAACAAGAATCACAGCAGAAGCAGGGATGTACTATCTTTCTTTCCAGAGGACAGTAACCCCACCTAGAAGAGATGCCATGCAGCGAGTGTGCCTCACCTGTGTGTTCAACTATGGAAGGTGGCCTGGTTAAACTAGCTTTTCCTCCACACTCTCGGTTGTCACTTTCCTTTCCTGACATATTTAAGCAAAATTTATGTGCTAAGAAGTCTTTTTACGCTGAAAGTTCCTGTTACTTAGCTTTCATTAGAAATGTAATGGAAGTTGAATATGCTTTATTGATTTCTGTAAAAGTCTCCTGTGCATGGCATATTTAATATTCCAGACCATACCAATCTGAGTTTTAGCATACACTGCGGTAAACCAAAAATCACAAAAGCCCTATATTGCTTTTATCTCCAGAAATGTATGCACAGACCATTCTCGAGGAGTTTTGCTGTCCAGTGTGATTCATTTGATCTTCCTATAGGACAAAATGAAACCAAGAGACACTAATTATGCCTGTTACTGGGAAAATTATAGGGCTTGTTAAAATGAAGGTTTCAATGCAGGAATCATCAATTCTACCATCCAATAAGCAATTAGCAAAACAAAGATGATCTATTTAATAACATAATTTATATGTGAATGAATAAATTAATTACTGTGATGACAGTATTTTAAGGCAAAAACTTTGGAAATTTCCTTAACTACAGCTAATGAATAGATGGTGTTTTGCTGCCTTTTCCTCTCTTTTCAGTTTTGCTGCTCAAAAACTGATGCGCTACTTGGAACTATCAGCTGAGGTCTCATCCCAACACAGCTGTGTTGCCACACTGAATATTTTGGGTTTGATATGTTTTTGCAAAATCAAGTATTGCTTTGAAGGAAGCATTCAGCAGTCTTACACTCACCTTCTCCTCATCCTTTTCATCTAGAGTCAGAGCATGATTTTTAGGAACTATGAGCCCAAATGTTTCACTGAACTCAGATCCTGGGTACACTGACAAAGCATCTGACAGAGTGCTCTCAGAGCTCAGGACTGGAAGCATTTGCAATTTAGATGATAAGCTATGAGGCTGTGGAGTTGCCCTTCATGTCTCTGATGAACTGACTCTATGGAACTTAGGGGGAAGAAGTGCCCCAGCCCCCTGAGCCCTGTTCTCTCATCAGCCTCCTATCTGCTACTTGCCCCGGGGGATTTTATTTTAGATTTGTAAAGCCAGAATTAAATATTTGCCTGTAGTTGCAGGCTAGAAAAGGAACTTTTAAATGGTCTTCACTGCTGTTATTTACATCCACATTACAGTAGTCACCTTTTATTAAAAGGTGAACAATCTAAGCAGGTGGAAAAACATCTTAAGAATCAATGAATCACCTCAAACATCTGTGATCTTCTCCTCTGTGTTTTTGACTTTTTCTCTAATACAGAGGAACCTGAAGTTATTCATTTTTATACAACAACTTATTAAAATATAACAGTGCAAATGAAATTTGCCACTCAGGAGAAAATTGAAAATAAATGAAAATAAGTATAGAGTGACATAAAACTGTGATGTAATTTTTGAGCCATTAAAATCAACTCTGTGAAAGTGCTTACACTGTTAAATGTTTTCCTTTTTGGTACTAATTTCCCACAGAGATGATGAGGTATAAGACCCTTTAGGGATACTTACGTACTGGGATGGGCTCACAGAAGGATGATGACCAGCAGGATGAGGGAAGTGATCATCCTGCTCTGCTCAGCACCGTGGGCCACATCTGTCTCTGGCTTTGGGCACCCAGTTCAAGAGGAAGTGGTCAGGCAGCAGAAGCCTCCAGCAGGTAGGTACTGAGATTGTCACAGGCTGAGAGCCCATGTCCTGCAAGAAGAAGCTGGGGAAGATGGGCTTCTTTGGTCTGATGAAGAGGGGACAAAGTGGTAACCCAATAGCCATCTACAACTACTGGAAATAGTTCTGCTTCAAGTGGAAGTTTGAACTAGATAAAATCCTCTCCAGTCAATACTTCTGTGATTCTATGTCTATATTCACATACACCCTTGTACTGCCCTACCTTCACCAAACCTAGCTGGAATGCTTATGAATGCAAAACACTTGACTGTAATGCATGCATGTTTTCACAAGCTGGTCTTTAGTGTCAGAATTGCACAGAATCTTAATTTTTAATCACAAAATACATTTTCCAGCAAAATTCTGTGTCTATTTTGTTCTAAAGTCAATGCAGAATAAAAAGTGGATTTGAAAAGCTGATATGGAATGGAATCAACATCCGCTGGTTAAAGTTCATCCTCTTGCCTTGGTAGTAGCTCTAGAATACTGGATTTCAGCATTTGACTGCTGTATTAATGTCTGTGTTTTATCCCCTCTTTTCTTTGCATTATCTTACTTAGTCTGCAAGATTTTTGTAGTCAACATTACTGGTTTACAAAGCATGAAGCAAATTCATGTCGCTATAGAGATGTTTGGTACAATGGTAATACCTTGCTGTGTATTAAGACAATAGAATGTTGTACTCCCTGAGAGAGAGACACATAAAAATCTTGACAAATGCAAAGTGCAGTGCAATATGAATATTTAAACACAGGTATAAACCACACAAAATATCCAGCAACTTCTGTTACAGAAAAATTTTAGACACATAAAGTGTGACAGTGAACATAAAAAAGCCCATGTGATTGTAGATGTTATTTCAAAAGTTTTGTATGATGTACACTGATATTATGGTCATGGCTGTGTGAAAGAAAAAAGTGAAAAAAAAAAGAAAATTCAATAGTTTTATCAATCAATAACCAACATCTACAGTGAGCCTCAGAATTTAGAGAGTCTCTATGGATGGATGAGCACCCATCCATAAAAAAAACTTGATGCTGAAAAACTTGGATATTCTAAACTGCATGATTAAGGACATTTGATGAAATGTCAGACAGCTATATGGAATCAAAGACCTGGTGCTGATACAGCAAAGGGTAGATGGGACAAAAAATATCTTCAGTTAATCTAAATCTGCTCCAAGATAAGCAGTTCCTCAGAGCTGAGATTGTCAGCTTCAGTAGTCACTGTGTCTATAATACACCGGCCTGTTTGAAGGCTTGTTCTAGAAAGGAGGGCACAGTGGCAGTGTTTGGAAGCCTTACCCAAATCATTGTGCAAATATGTCGCACCATCCTGCATCACTGAATTTATCAGGCTCACCCAAATGTTAGAAGAATAAAATCTCCAGAACATGCGCACATCTGTGGAGCAGAAAATCCTGTTTTAATTTTCTTGGAGTGCAGCACTTGGAATAAAACTGGTTTACCAGGTCACTGTTATGCCTTTTGGACCATCATTGAACATGTGAACTTGGGAAATATTCCTCTATTTTTGAAAATTGGTTTTTTTTGCAGTGCAAGACATAATCAAACAGTTTAAAAATTAGCTTCACATGAACCATCCCTTTCTGAAGGAGTAGAAAAAAGAAAAAACAAAAAAAGAAAACCAACCTGATAATATCTTAGGTACAAAAAGGTACAGATAATTTTAACTATAATTATGAATTTGTGTGGATCCTCCAAAACACAAAATTATTGGTTCTCTCAGTGACCGCAGTCAGGAACAAAAGTCTTTATCACAGTCACCCCGATGAGTCTCAGGTATCTGGCTCTTCAGCATGCCCTTTTACCTGCTAACTGAGGTGATTCAGGCTGGGAAGCACCAGAGCAACACCCCTTGTAAACTATAGTGAAGGCTGGTAGCCAGAGAGCTGTCGTCCCCAGTGTAGCAGTCTCCCTGTTAGTGATGGTTTATTGCCTTCCCTATTCACCAGCCCGGTTCTGTTCAGTAGGTCTGTAAAAAGGTCTGTGTGAAAGGATATGATTTCTTGATAAAAGTCAAGAAGCACGGTGTCAGCCTGCAAGCTCTTCAAAGCGAGGTCTTGGTCATACAGTGGAGTGGTGATTCTGGCTGGGGCTGTGACTCTTACTGTAGTACAAATAATAAAAGTATAAAATGTACAGTGCTGCCCAAATGGAGAGAGTAAGCACAATACGGATGCATTTTCACTTTCCAGGTGAATGAGCTCTCTGTGCAAGAATCTCTCTGTGCAAAAATCCAAACTGGATATGAATCCTACTTTTCTTCCTGGAATCTTTGGAGTTATTGGGAGCTCATGATACACATAGCCAATGTTATTGCATAGCATATATCCCCTGCTTCTAGCAATGCTATGTAAAAAAAATGATGGGCATTGCTTTAAATAATGATCAGCTTAGGTCCTCTTCCATATAACTGCACATGAAGCAAATAGCTGAATGGCAAATTGGCTCCTGTTCAAAAGTTTCCTAGCAACAAAACCGGTAATGCAGCAAGCAGCAAGTCAAGCTGTATACTGTCAGTATCTGAAATAGTGAGTTATACATGAAAAAGCTCTCTTTATATAACAGAAACTTGTTCTAAGACTGAATGATGCCTGCAGGACTACTTTGTGAAAGTGAAGTCAGGAATTAAAAAAATCTATGACCCTTAGCATTCTGTTACTGCATTGTTATCCTCTCTAGTGAATAGTTTGCAATTTTGGGATAAGAAAATAGGGGGAATTCAAACCAGGAGGGGTAACAGCTACTTGGTCCTTTGTTAATGTGTTTGCTGTGAAGATGTTTATCCATATTGTTAATGGGGCTTGAAGGACAAGTAAGAGCTATTAATATCTCTTTAAGGTCTTGCAAATACCATGCCAAAAAATTACCATTAAATCATGACCACAATTAATGCTCTGTGGTGCTGACTCAAATATATAAAAAAAAAAAAAATCAGCTTACCTCTGGAGTTCCAAAGGAGCATTTTTCCCTCCCCAACCAGCAGCACTCTAGGAGCAGGACTATCTGTGGGTTTTAGTTTATACAGCATCAACCCAGCAGGGGCACTCTGGGCTAGGCTTGGCATGTGTTTTAGTCACCTAGTTGCTTTGGAAGTGAAGATTGTAAGAGATTCCCTGTAGTCACCTCCTGCCTCCTTCAGGCATTTTATCTCAGCTGCAGGTTGCCTTCTGCTCCTCTGTGTGTAGCTATGAGCTCGTACGCCTGCTTGGCTCTCTGAAATCCCATCTATACATTTTCCTGCTATTTAAATAGCATCACGTGAAAGTTCATTTAAAGGAGGTGGCCATAGAGAGAGGTGAGCCGATGTAACTGAGCAGGCAGTAAGGGTCCAGGAACAAGTGCCTTCAAATAAAGCAGGAAGGGTCTTAAACTGGCCGTGCAACTGCAAAGTGCACCTGAGCTGGAGTTGAACGGTCTCCATGAGGAGGAGCAGGATGTCTCCTGCAGATGGCGGTGGAGGTGTTTTACCCTTCCCGTCTGCCCCTCATGGACTCTACGGCTGTGTCCACCAGGCCTCACTGCAGCAGTAGAAGCTGGCTGCTGCCCAGGCCGCCTGCTGCGTGGTCACCCTGTCAACACCACAGCCCTTCTTCTCAACGTCTAGGTTTTAGCTCACCTCACCAGCATCAGTTGATCACCAGCAGACAGTACTTTAGGAAAACCAGACCTGAAGCAGTCCTGTGAAATGAGAAGGGAGTTCCAATGGCTATGAATCACCTTTTCTGACCACCTCACATAACTACTTTGGAGAACTTTGTGATTAACTTTCAATATTATGCAGTGCCTCCTGCTTTTCCTTGTTTCATGTTTGAGATTAATTTTATATTGAATTTCCCAATGTATTATTCACCTTCTAAACCTAGAGCAATCATGTTTCATTTTATTAATCTCCATCCAACACTATTCATCACCCTTGAGCCAAGCGTTTTGAGTTTCATAATGATTCCACCATAAATAAATCAGTTCTTTAGTCATGCTGAAGTAATGTTTTGTTCCTGTCATGTTTTGCTGTACTTCAACAAAGTAGGTGCACTTCTTTGTACCCTTATCTTTCTTGAGGTATTTGTTTTCAGCACTCTCTGCTGAAGTTGTTAGTAAAGCTGGGCATGTTCAGCCTGGAGAAGGCTCCGAGAAGAGCCTTCCACTACCTAAAGGGACCCACAAAAAATCTGAAGAGGGACATTTTACAAGGACAGGTAGCGATAGGACAAGGAGGAATGGCTTTAAACTGAAAGAGGGGAGATTGAATCAGACATTAGGAAAAAATTCTTTACTACGAGGGTGGTGAGACGCTGGCACAGGGTGCCCAGAGAAGCTGTGGTTGCCCCACGCCTGGCAGTGTTCAAGGCCAGGTTGAACGGGGCTTTGAGCAACTTGGTCTAGTGGAATTTGTCTTTGCCCATGGCAGGGGTTGGAACTAGGTGATCTTTTCCAACCTTATGATTCTATGATTTTATGATATGTTGTATGAAGGAGGAGATGATTTTGCAAAATATTTTAACTGCAAGGGGAAAGAACCACAAAGTTTCAGAGAAACAGAAAAGCAATGGTGGGATTTTGGGTTACTTATAAAGGGAGGAAGATGTTGAGGCCACATCTGAACGGCCTGCAGCACCTGGGACTTCTTCCCAAGCCCCAGGGAACTGCGGCAACTGAGGTCTGGGCATTCTGTGTGTGTTTGGGATATGTCAAGGACTTTCTAGCTATTCACTATGAAGGACAAGCAGGGACACTAAGGCAACAATTTTTTTGTGCCTCACATGTGGATATCTCTCTCCTTGCTGATAAAGGCATTGACTTGACAACTAGGGTGGTGATGATGCTTAACCACACAAGTAATTAACATTGTCCACTCATGCTCAAGAAAACAACATGTTTTCTTGACATGACGTATAGCATGACATGTCGCCAGGGTGACTTGTCTCCTGGTGAGACTCCTCAATAAAAGGGGAGTCCTGGTGTTCCATCTGCAGCCCAGTCCTCCATACTGTTCTCCTTTGTGTAACCAGATGGGCTAAGCACTCCCATAGAAAGTTGAGAGATTTGCAATGAGTTTAGAAATAAACAACTGTGTTTGCTAATTTTCAGTTTCAGATGGTGAGTTTGTGGGTGCAATGAGCTTTGGGCTCAGGGTTTCTGTGAAAATTGTGTTATATGAGCTAGAAACCTAGCTCCAAACATCAGCAAAAATATCAGGATTTCTAGCTGCAGCACAAATAGTCCTGCCCAATCAAGGAAAAAAATAACAATCAGAAATGCAACTGCTTCCTAAAAATGGCATAATGAAACCACAGCATCAAAGAAAAACCCTTTAGCAGCTTTAAATGCTACTGAGCGCTGAAACGGCAATTCCTTACTGACAGCAGTACTGATTTGGAAATGTAAGCACATTGTAAACCAAAGGATTTTGACTATGGAATGAAAGTCAGCTGTATTCTAATGGCATTTTGTCCCTTATTCTTCAAATCAACTAGCATTCACACATGTGCCCTGAGGACACAGCAAGCAATTTTAGACTTCAAATCTCTGCAAATTTTGCACACACAGGGAAAGAGGGGTCATGCTTTAAGCTGTTCGTATTGAAAATGTTGAATACATATGCAGCAGCTAATAGTACAGTTATTAGGTTTGGGAAGGCTCAGGTATTAACACTGGAAAATATAGGCCTTGTGAATGGCTCTGATTCTTCAGCAGATGATTTTACTTTTGTATCAATACACATAAATAGTAAGAAAATGTAAAAATTCCTATCTCTATTTTTCAGGGTCCATCCTACACGTTCAACAAGAATGGTCACAGTGAAGGTCTGGCCTCACCAGGAGACAGTCAGGAGGACAAAATAAACTGGTAGGCATAGTGCATTTTGGGGAAAGGTGGGAAGGGTTAGGTCAGTCAGTGATCTTTAGGTGTTTGCTGAGGAAGACTGAAATCAGGGCACATTCCCCAGACAGACCTATGAGCTTGCACTGTGTTGCAACTACTACCACCAGTACTCTAACTACTCTCACCTCCTTCCATATCTGAAACTTTCCCAGATAGTGTCTGGGCTACAGGTATCTGTGGTCCAGCTCCATGATATCCACCAGTGAAGAGCAGAAAATACAGTTCCATCTTGCAGCCCAGGGGGAAAAACAGCTTTTTAAGTCTGTGGTTCACATGCATGTAAATGTTACTTAGAAGACAGAGTTGCATTGTCCAGTGATGTTATAGCTAAAGTTAAAAATGAATCAAAATTCAAAAAGTCACTGTAAGGGGTGAATGTAAAGTCAAGCCACTAAAAATTCAGGAGTACTCTGTAATCCAAGCAAAGAATGGCAATGTCCAGACATGGCACTCACACCAAGGACAGCAGCAGCCTTTACACAGTAATTAAATTGTGGTAGAGGATAAAATTAAACACACCAAAGGAGACTTGAAGTGTAAGGACACGATGTGGCTGATAAAAAAGAGGGTTTGCTACTCAGCAATGTTTGAGGTTCATCATCTGGAAAAAGAAAATAAAAATCTAAGGTCTATTCTTGAGGTGAAAGTTTCTCAGTTCAATAAAGCTGGATTTAAGCCAAATTATTGGTTTGAACATATCAAAACCTGTTTCAAATTTAATGGCTTTTAAAGGGTAGCTTTTTTACAATCATCCACTGTGCTGCATAAACAAGTCATTCTCAAATGGAAAATGAAACATTTCCTTTGAGAAAGAGTCAATACATTGTAGTCTGACATTTTGTTAGGTCACAAGTTTCTTGTGAACTATTTAGGTTTTGGTAAATGTACATTTTGCTATGAAAAAAAAACATAGTTGATAAATTGCTAGTCACATCCAGAGACAATTATACAACCACCACATCAAAACATGACATGTTAACATTTTATGAAAGAAATTAAAAGCCAGAGGCAAACAGACAGTATCAGATTATAATGTAGGAATATTAGCATTAGAAGGCAGTGTGGGACACTTTTCAACATATTGATGAAGATCGGGATACGTTAGTCATATACAAGATCCACAGAGATGGAATGTGGACAGATATTCAAGCCTGTATAACCTGCCAGATACAAGATTCACTCTCATCTTAGGAAAGACTTCATGGCTGATTAAATTTAAGCTGCAGTACAGAGGGTTAGCAGGTGAAGAGGACTGGTGAACTGGAAGAAGAGAATGTATGAAGTTAAAATGCCACAGCTTCTTAGCTACCCTGACTGATGGGATCAGATTTGTAATTTTGAGGATGGACATCAAGGGTGAAATGCTGTCAATAAAATGATCGTCTGGATATTGTATAATCTATAATGAAGTTATTTTCAGGGCCATTGCTCAGGAGGCAATTGCATTCGTTTGATAACACACCATCATAATTCACTTTACTATATATACATGCTGTATTTTACCATATTTGCATTTATGTATTGAATCTACATATATTTGAAATGAATGCTGACTTCAAAGAAGTACATAGAATCATAGAATAGTTAGGGTTGGAAAGGACCTTAAGATCATCTAGTTCCACCCCCCTGCCATGGGCAGGGGCACCTCACACTAAACCATGTCACCCAAGGGTCTGTCCAACTTGGCCTTGAACACTGCCAGGGATGGAGCATTCACAACTTCCCTGCAATGAGATCTAGATGATTTCAAAATAAACAAAAAGCTGAAATGAAAGCCTTAGAACTTACTGTAATGGAAAAAGAAGTCCTCCACATATAGACTAAATGAATTACAAAAATTCAAGTTTTTACCTCCTCTGACAATTATCTTCAACTTTCTACTAGGAGGACTGAATTTGCAATTCTATTCACTTGCAGTGGTAATTCAATTTAGTTTCTGTGGCATTGCAGTACCTGGCAACTAAAACCTGAAAATAAGGATTCCACATATTAACACAAATTTAGCACAAAGTTGTCTGGAAAATCACTGTATTTGTTTTACAGCATCTTGTTCTTTAGATTTTGTTTGCAGCTCAGCACAGTGCGAGTAGCGGCACTCCATTCCCCTTTCTATCTCTTTATGTTATCTTTCTTCTCATTGAAAAAGAAAAAAGTGAGGTGAAGGGCAGCAGCAGATCTTTTCCCTTCACAATTTCAGAGAATTTCAAGTTTCATGTAGGTGTTTTTTTGGTTGGGTGTTTTTTTTTTTTTTGGTGGATTGGGGTTTTTTTGGTTGTTTCTGTTGTTTGTTTTGGTTTTTTTTCCTTTGTGTTTTTTTTCTGTGTTTTTTTGTTTGTTTGTTTCTTTCTTTCTTTGGGGTTTTCTTTTTGTCGCTAGAAATATTAGATACAAACTAAAATTCTGCCTACTGGTCCTGGCAAAATGCTTTCATGTTCTTATTAGTTTCAGCTGAATGGTCCTATCATAGCATAAGGTTACTTCTTTAGAAACATCACTTTAATACTTGATAGTACCTGTTTAAGGCTTTCCTAATACATTGATCACTAATTTATTATGTTAATTTTCTGCCTCCATTCTGCCTTTGTTGTTTAATCTTTTCTTGCCTAAGAAAACAAAAACATAATTGACATTTTGTAAACTGTGCTTTTAAGGTGAATGATATTTCTTATTAAATACCCCCTTGACCATCTGTTTTCCAGTTCATGGAATATAGCTGTCTCTGAATGTGCATGTTAATACCATTAACACTTAAAGGAGCTATCATGTACATCAGAGAAAAATACATTCTTTCCTTCATTCTTTTTCTCTGAGCATTATGCTATGTTGTGTTGAAAAGGCAGAAGTTTGTAAAATGCAAAAAGTTTTCCTAGACAAGTGAGTGTCCCATCTTCCAACCAATGTTTTACTATTTCCAATTTCAGCATTTTGTTGTCTAGTCGAGACACTTTGTGACATTAACAATACAAACATCTTTGCAGAGAATTTGGCACTTCAAAACAAGTGTGTTTATACTGTGTTCAGGACCTGATTAGGGCAATGATGCCTACACAGCTGAATTACCACAGAAATCATTGCCACAGTCAAGAGATGGTCTCATCAGGACAGAACTGATCCATCCTTGGCCCCTAAAGTGTTATGGGTAAGATGAAATGAGATAGCTATACAAACAAAATGATCTAAAATGATAACAATGAATGAACCTGAGGAAGTGACTCTCTGAATTATTTGAAAGGTTACTAAAGTAGAATGATCTTTCAAAGTAACCTTGTTTATTTCTTCTGTTGTGAATACCTCATTTTCTGTACTTTTTCAAAAATACCTATTTTCCTTACTGATATCATTCCACAGTGACCTTTGGCTCTGCATCTCCTTGCTGTCATCACATTGTCTGGCTGAACCAGCTACTGGCAGCAGTTGAACCCATCTGGCGAGTTCCAGCAGATGCAGAAGATTATTCACTCCAGAGGATGCATACAGCATGCGTAACCTCCAGAGTCATACATGGGATTTAAGAGGCTGGGCTTGCCTTTCAAAAATATGTTGCATACAGAAGGAGGCTTTCACAGGAAAGCCCCTGAGGGATGCAAAGTTTGATACAAGGAACAGCAACAACAAAGAGACTATCAGATTTGCTGTGTCTTCCAAAATTAAGAAAACGCATCTAGGATACAGGTAGTGAAGTAACGAAACTCTCACAAGAGATGGAATTCCCACAGGATCCCTGGATCTAAATCAAGGCAGTTTTGTCTCATTAATTCTTATTAGTGTCTCATTACAGACAGTGATTGAAGAGGAAAATGTTAATGCTAACAATGGTCGAATTTGCACTAGATGTAATTGAAAGTTGATGCTGCTTAGGGAACTGGTTCATGTGCTAAATCAAGACTAAAGTTACAGCATCTTTAAATCAGGTGAGATAATTTCTTCTGGTAGCCTTTAATTCTTTTACAACTTAACTGACTAATTCTAATCAAAAGGATGTTTCTTTCTTTTGATGAAGGAAAGAATTCTTTGTCTACTGACTTACTTGAAGTTGCATTGTTATTTCCCCTTGGCTAATCTGACTGTTCTATAACTAATTTGTGTGTCCATTTATTCCAGCACCCTTTTTTGCAGAATCTTTTGAACCTGGTGGCCAATTTCGACTATCTTGGGCATCAGGATAGATTAATGTCACTGAATTAGGTTATCCAAAAGTAGAGTGAAATGTGGTAGGAGTATATAACAGCTAGCAGCAAATAAGACCAAAAGAAATTGTATTTAGGGGTTTCTTGGTGAAACAGCAAAGCTAGTCAGAATCGCAGAAGGAGACTTCATAGGAATCTCCTTTAATTTCAGATATAATGTTTTGTTTAACTATTATCTATAAAACATGTAGTGTAATGAGAAAAGTGAACATTTAACCATATTTTCATGATGTAAATTCAGGAAATTCAACTTTTCCCGATTAACTTCAATAGTGGTTGGTGCTAAAATCTCTTCAGCTGTTGAACAAAGAGCATAGAAAATACCAATGGCCATCAGCTCTCAGAGGCTTCTTCATTGCACAGCTGATTAGAGATCAGAAGCAACTAGAGTCCCAGCATCCCATTCGGATTCAGGGAATTTCCTCTTGTCCCCAACCCCTTACATTCAAAGACAGGATCTGAAGGTCTATTTTGAGCTCCTTTCTCTTTTTGCAAGCTTGAAAAGATGATAGCTGAATCTGGGCCCACTGGAGCTCTGCCCGCTTCGTGGTTTAATTGCCTCACATGTAATTAGTTTCTTCTGAAACCCTTGTCTATTTTTAAAAATAGAGTTAAGGGTATGATCCAACTCCTTTTAAATGCAGTTATATGAATCAGACTATATTAACAAATTAACTCCACTGTGTAAGAGCTGTGATTTACATATTGTGATTCTTTTCCCTTTCTCAGAAGATACAATTCATTACTTTTCAATTGCATGGCATGCTTTATTTTGGGATTTTTTTTTTTTGTGTCAGTCACATTCTCTTGGTCTACCAGCAGAGCGTGCTGGCTCACAAGACCAGTATTTTTCAAGTCAAGGAAGGGCTGAAAGAAGTTTTGAAACAGAAAATATATTTTAGGGAGGAAAAAAAGCCTGTCTTTAAGATGGTGTATTTTTTTTTCCCCACTTTCTTACCTCCGGTGGCCTTAGTAATTCTATTTTTATGAGTCACCCAGACTGACTGGATGATGATAAAACTCAGAGATGATCACTGTAACTTTTACATCTGAATTTAAGTTTCAGGAAAAATGGAAACGAAATAAGCCTGAGATATTTGAAACTCACTCCAAGCATTTCTCAAGTTTTGCTCCCTAGAAGCATTTTATTCCAAAGATTCTAAATTTTGCTCCAGAACTATTTGGAAATGACCCATTTGATCTTTTCCATGATGTGATGATATACAGTTCAAACATAAACCACTAATAATTTTGGGTTCTAATGCTAATTGAAGTCAGTTGCTTCCTGCTTTCAGATAACCACCTCTTGGCTGAATTTCACCTTAGATCTCTGTGGGAGCCTTAAGACTGGTAAGGCAGACCTCTGTAGAGAGCTCTAAAGTGCAGCAAAGCACAGCTAGCATTGCTGTGTGTATGTGAGATTTGGGAGGCTGGGCAGAAGCTAGTTAGAGATGCTGTTACCTTGGTGACAAACCTGCAGTTGGAAATATTGTACATTGACTAGCCAGTGCAGAACTGGATGCAGGGACAACCTCCGGCTGCAACAGCAGCAAGGTAGAAATCATACCTGCTTTGCACTAAAAACTGAGGGTTTTATTCTGCTTTATGGTGGTTCTTTTGGCATAGCTCAAAGTTTGAAAGTGTTTCCTAAGTTTGGAGCTTTCTAAATGTGTCCATGGAAGTTTCCTATTATTTTCTGGAACCAGTAAATGAGAATAGCACCTGCAGACAATTCTGATTTTATGGAGTTGTTTTCTCTTGACTGTTTCTACCTACCTGCGCACTGGAATCTTCTTGGTCCTCAGTGGAAAGGGTGTGGGCTGTCTTCTCCAGCTAAGCAGCTTCAAGCTTAACTACCAGTGCTTTCTCCTCTACTGCTTCTAAGCAACAACTGACTCCAAACTATAGTCAGCAGAGCTACAGCCCACACAATGCACACACCCACACACCAATATGAGAAGCTTGCTTGAAGGTTTTCAAAACATGGAACAGAAAGCCAACTGACTTGAGAAAGAATTTGAATTGCATATTACCTGAGCTTATTGACTGATTCAAACAATTTTCTCTTCCTAAATATCTGAACACTGGCTGTGAATAATAAGTTTCAGAGTACCATCTCAAGATGAATAATTAAACTTTTAAATATCTGAAGATAGAATTTAAGTATCAAAGATGCTTTTCACAAGCATGTACGTACCAATGAACTTCTTTAGTCTCTGGGTTATCATTGAACAAGCAGCCCAGATGTTAGCAGTTGACATCTGCTTACATCCGGACAAGACTTCTTCCATCTAACTTGATAATAGTGGCACCCCCGGGTTTTTTTATCATTAGGTATTGTAGGTCACACTCACATGTATGTTACATGGGGCCAAAGTTAAGGTTCAATTTCTAAAGCAGTTTGCACCTGATCCAGCAGGCCCTTTGCCTGACCATAGATTGACCTTAGCACAAGCACTGAGTCAAGCTACTTTATACAAAACAACTGGATTAATATAAGAATGGTCAGCCTTATTTCATCTGAAGATTGCGCCTGGCACATTCTGGGCTGCTTTTGCTATGAGCTTTCCCAGATTCTCTACTAAACTCATTTGTCCTTGGGCAATATTCAGTCCTGCATATCACCGGTACACTTTAGAAGCTGTTAAATGATTATGCAAGCAGGAAGATGTAAATTAGTAACCAGATGTTCCCTTAAGGTTATGCAAAGTGTAAAAGGTTAAGGAATACCAAGAAGGGATAGTTTGCTAGTTGCCATTCCTTAGTTGTAACTGGTGATATAATCAGAACATTACTAGCTTAGTCTGTGACCCTCCGACTCAGGAATCAGTTAGGTAGCAGAAAGAATGCCTAGATGACACAGCTGCTCTCCATCCTAACTTATTTATTAGATTGATATTGATTGATTCATCAGAAATAGGTTTGCTAACTCTCAATTTCTGTTTGAAAGCTAAGATTTCATACACAAAATTACCTCTAAGGGTCATACAAAAAACATGAACAAATCCATGTGGAACTCATGGTTTGGATGTGTTCCAAACTTACCTTGGAACATCTAGAGCTTGGATGGGCTGAAATACCCTTTACACATGCATCTTCCTCTCTGTCAGCTATAGAGGTGGATAGGTTTGTAACTTAAGTATCCTGATTAGGTGCATAAAGTTGTGAGGACTGAATAAAGATAGAATCCAGGGGGTCTTCCCCTTCCAAATGCAAAGCATTCACTGGCATTACTTCATGGGGGTTGGCTAAAGGCATGTATCATAATCAATTTCAAACACCACCAGTACTGTATTATTCATGCATGTCTGTATAACTTTTGTCTAATTTTCAGGCTAAACCCAGAAGCAATAACCAGATTAAGAACAGTACCTTTAATGATATGTTATGAAGATTTGAAAATATGAATATTTATTAGAAATATTGCACATAACAGAATCTGTCAGGACCCTGAGGGCACCAATAGGCCTTTATGGCCCTGACCAGCCTCACCAGGGACATGCACCCTTACTTTCTGCCCACTGCTCCAAGAACTCCTTTTAGGTGCACCTGAAACCCTTACATTAGGTTAGCTAAGACCCTCTCAATACAAGTATTTTATCTTTGTAGTGAGGGAAATTTCACCACTTCTTCAGCAACCTCTTCCAATGTTTAATTGCTTTCATGCTGAAGAATATTTTTTTCCTTATATCTCACATGAGAGAGCAGTAGAACAGTAGTATCCAAGCTCTCTAAATAAATCAACGTTTTAGCAGTTCATGTTTGCTTGTTACTAGGTGTTTTACAATGGCTGCAGCTGTGTAGTTTAGATGTTGAATCAGGAGCATAAAGGATGAAGTCCTGACTCATGTAGGATCAGTCCTCTGTATTTTCCCCCTTTGCTACATGCAACTAGAACTTTCATTTCCTACAGCGAAGATATTTGCTATCTCAATATGTGCCTAAGCTTCTGGGGAGCAAACCATTAACAAATGTCACGTTACATTTCTGTAGGAAAACACTAAAGAAAGCCATCAGGCTAGAGCCACTGCTACTATGGCTCATCATCCTTGTCAAGTGATGGAGAGCAGGTCAAAACAAGTTCAGTCTTTCCATCTAGGTACTGCGTATAACAAACCCTGTTTGAAACAACACTTATTCTTCAGAACCTGGGAACACGCATTAAAACGTATTGTTATTGCTTAGGTGACTGAGAAGTTATTTGTATTCACCCCTTGTTTTGCAATTTTTCTCTTCCTTTTTTGTTTTTGTTGTGTCTTTTGATTTTATTTTTATTTTAAATGAGTACTAACATCACACAAAAGAAATCGCTTCTGACAGTTTTTTCACACTATTCACGTCACTTTTTGCTGATTTTACGTGCTAAACCCAAAATAGATGTAATTAGTCAGGCCTTACTTTTTGGCACATTTCCTGGTAGACTAGGTTAAAAGCATCCACTTAGTACAGCCTAATTCAGAAAACTTGAAGTGTTGCAGGCAGTGATCTCATGGTATCTTCCGTTTCCATATCTCAATCTATATAACTAATGCCTATTGAACAGATTAGAAAAGAGAAAGAATTTGTATGAGATGACTCTTGTTTGCTTTAATTTATAGAATTCTATTTTTATTTTTTTGTCATAGTACATTAGATCCATTTGGTTGTCAGAGAGATTATTTAAAGACAAACCTTTATTAAGAACAATAATAATGTTAAAAAGATTTGATTTGCTATAGTTGCCAACTATGAAGTAACTCACAAGCCATTTTGTCTCTTGAGATCAAAAGGTAATTAAATAAAAAGGGTGTTCCAGAATGAGATCTTTCCTATACTCAGCCTATGAGTGAAGCAAGTAGAAATACATAAACTGACAAGAACTCAGTTAACCCACTGAATTTTTAAATATGTCCTAGGGGAAGAATTGATTCAGTCAGGAGCTCTACATTCGAAGGAGCTCTGCAGTCAAAGTCTGTTTTAGAGCTATTCGCTTAACTTACCACTTAGTATGAGTAGCTACATTTGCTGAAGTCTGAGGCTGCAAGCTGTGGACCTTCACCTAGATATATTACTTTTGGCTGGAAAAGAGTTTTCTTAGTGATTTTCTTAGAAGATGGTACAGTGCTGTGTTTTGTCTTTAGCGTGAGAAGGATATTGATAACACACTGATGTTTTAGCTGTTGCTAAGTAATGTTTATCTTAGATCCAGGACATTTTTAGTGTCCTATGCTGTGCTGATAAGCTACTGTACAAAAAGCACAAACCAGAAGATGAGGAGACTACTACCATCAGCAGAAGCTGCAACTCCACAAGGTAAGAACAGTTAAATGCCTCCCTGCATGGAGATGGAGAAAGAATTCAATGAGCTGTTAGAAGACCCCAGACCAAAAAATCACCATTGGACCAAAAAGACATGTGAGGGGCAGGTGCATAAATCATAAGGATATAATGGCTCAGAGATTTCTTTCTTTGGGGTCCCTCTGTGGAGTCACCCAGCTTGAGCTGTCCCTTTTGCTGTACCACTCAATTTTTTTTTTTTTTTTTTCCTCCTGGAATCAAAGGCCTGAGACTTGGAGGAAGCACACCTGGGAGTGTGTGTTTGAGTGAGGATTTGAAAGGGGCACCCATCAGCTCATTGGAGCTGCCTACTGCAAAGGGACTTTGGTCCTAGCAGTTCAAGTTTTGGGTGGTGTGCATGTGACTCCAGAATGGTGTGTGAAAAAATAAATGCAAGACCTTAAGAAGGAATGAACATAACGAACCAGTGTACTCATGCTGACATAGAATCCTAGAATAGTTAAGGTTGGAAAGGACCTTAAGATCATCAAGTTCCAACCCCCCCTGCCATGGGCAGGGACACCTCACACTAAACCATATCACCCAAGGCTTCGGCCAACATGGTCTTGAACACTGCCAGGGATGGAGCATTCAGTAGAGGACGAATTAACCCAGAACGGAACAGTATAGATAGCAACAGTAAGTGCACAACAATCCTCAGAAAATGTGGTTTTTTTTTGACAGGATTGTGATAGCAATGTCTGGAAAACTGGTAACAAGAAGAGGACATCTTCTAGATGGGAGGTCTTGGAAAGTAGTATAGGAGCCTTTACACAGTATCACTTTAAAACATCAGTGAGTGTGAGACTGCAACATAGAGACAGCCCCCATGAGTATGAAAATAGGTAAAGCAAGCAGGCTGCCACTAAGAAGCTAATTCTAAGCATGAGCTTTATCAAGGGGTACTGATCTTTGCAAACCTCTGTAATATTTAGCAGATTTGTCCACCTGAAGTTGTTAATCAATGAATACTGAGCTACAGTTTAGCTGGAAAGCTGAAACAGAAATGTTAATTGTAAGATATGTAAATTTAGTTCTCTTTTGTCTGTCTCCTTTCTCCCAAAGTGATAGTTTTATGCAAAATTTTCAGTAAACCTATCCATTTCTGTCTGTAGGGGAGAGCTCAGCTGAATTCTTCTGTTCAGTCCCTCCTATTTTATCTTTATTACTATGTTGATTCAACCATATTGTTCTGCTTAGTTTTTCCCTTTTCTGTCCTAAAAGTTTTGTTCTCCTCCTCCTTAGGCCCACTAGCCATTTTCTTCTTAGCTTAGTGTTGCTGTGCCCAAGACCATTTAAACCTCACTCCATTTCCCTGTTTTTTTCATGTCCTATAAAAATCTTTTCTATTTATACATCACTTGTATGAGACAAGATTTCTCCAAGCCTGCTCTGAGTCTGAAAATATCAAAAGGGCAATATAAAAAAAAAAAAGCAATTTTAAAAGGATAAATGAAATATTACCCACCTTTTTACTCTTGTAGTTTGGATGGCTGAAAGATCTGTCAGATTCACCCAAAGTCCTTTGGCAGGAATCCCAAAGAACAGCCTCCCAGTCTGAAGTCTTGTGGCTTTTGTGGGAAAGAATCAGTGAAACCAAAATAGGACTCTTGGTATCAGTGCCGTAAGTA